CCCCCTGCAGGCAGAAAAACTTCACTTGAGTTTATTTGGTTCATTTTATCATTAACATTTTCATGTACTCATTTGGCTGAAGAAGCAATTTACAAGAATCAAGCTTGAAAACCGTGAGATACTGTCAGACCGCAGCAGGATGAAAAATGAAAATTATCAGTGTAGGTTGCTAAATGAAAACAGCTGGCTTGTTTGTAGAGATGGAGGCAAAACAAAGTTTCTGCTGAACAGAAGGTGGGATTTGTATTGAATGTATTGTTGTACTTTACTGTAATTATCCAAATTAACTATGGGAATACCACCATCACATGAGCACGTAGTCCTACTTATTGCATACAAGTTTTTATTCAGACATAGGCAGGTAGTGCCTTGCCAAAACCTTTTCACATTTTGTAACAATGTATCCACATACATCAGTGTGAAATTTAAGCTATACATAAACATAAACCAGAACATTTTTCTGGACAGAAAGGAAAACAAATACACGGTTTTCATAATTCAATAATTATCTTGAAAATTAGAGAATTATTGTGTGCATTGCATTAGGCCTGCTTGAGCCAAGAACTTCTGCAGAACCTCCTTTTGTTGCAATAAGAAAAAAAAAATAGACTGCCATTTTTCTCCGTTCATCTTTGCAAACTGCCTGAACCTCAGTCAGACTGGATGGAGAAAGTGCTTTTATCTAAATGTTGTTCTGGAACTCCAGTCCTCAAGGGCCAGTGTCCTGCTACTTATAGATGTGTCCCTTGTCCTACACACTTGAATTAAACTGCGAAACTGCCTCATTGGAATGCCGTCAAGCCCTCAGGAGATATGCTAATGAGCTAATATTGGAGCCAGGTGTGCTGAAGCAAAGACACCTAAAGGTTGCAGGAGTCTTTGAGGACTGAAGTTTGAGCCTACTGATCTAAACCCTCAAACTGTGTTTAGGGTCTCTGTTCGACTGGCAGCTGAACCTCGTGGCAGCTGAACCTCGTGAGTCTCAGAGTTTCCCTCTATGATCGACCTGCTCTTAGCTCGAGACATTTTCCCATTAACACTGACTAGGTTCTCTGGCACTACTGAAGAAACATATTCCCATAGCAGGAAACTGACTCTAGAAAGTGTTCAGGCTGAAATGCAGCGTTGTCGTTTCTTCACACTGAACGTTTTGCATGTAAACCAAAACAATTAAATGCCATAAATGTAAAATCTCACTCTTCATCAAAGCGACTTTAAATATATATTTCAATTTAGCAAAAAGACTTGGTGTTCGTATTTGAAGTATTTTAAATAAGTCATGGGGTTTTTCAATCAGAGAGTACAGCTTGAGTGATGCCTGTGCAAGGTGTTGTATATCTACCATGTAAGATTAATATTTTGGGAACAAATGACTTATAAAAATAAGCTGTGGGTTTGTTTATCTCTGAGACATTGGTTGAATGTAAAACGTCAAACATTGACGCTGTGTTGGTTTGTGCTGCCCCCTGCTGGTAGTTGGAAGTTTCAAGTTGTCGTTTTCTTGCCAATTTAGATTGACCCCATAACCTCTGCAGCTCAGTCAATTTAATAATTCACCCGGTAAAAAAAAAAAAAAGGAAATATACATCTTCAAGACTTCAGCTTGTTTAGTAAGAAATGTCACTTTGTTATAAAATAGTTTCTGCTCAGTGAAGATGACTGTATGCAAATGGGAAGCAATTAACGTAGTGCTGATCTGTTTGAGAACGCGCAGAGAAATAATCCTATAGCTGCAGGTGAGTTCATCAGTGTGACTGTACAGAGCAGAGAGGAACCTCCAGTTAAAATGCAGCTTCAAGCAGTGAAGGACACAGAGACTGTAATAGGACTGAGAACAAAGGGTTGAGGAGGACAGGAAGAGAGTTACTGGGATGGAGGAAAGGTCGGGACATGGGAGGGAGACGCTTCGGGAACATGGAGAGATGAGAAGCAGAGGAGTGCAGATGTTTCTGTTATAGTGGAGCAGGCTCATGGCGGCTCAAAGTTCATGGAGGCTGTTCCAAAGTTACTTGTTCTGGGTTATCATCATGTGAAGTTGTCATTAGTAAGAGATCAGAATGGAAGGAGAGGAGCAGAGGGACAACAGCTTACAGACGATAGCCATCGTTCTGCTGTGTTGTGGTGCCGCCAAACTGCTGCACCTGCTGGGAGTCATCGCTGTGGAGGGTGAGTTTTACTGCACTGTAATCCAGGTCTGATTCAGTCAGAAGAATAACAGTTCCAACACTAAGTTTATGGAAGAGAAAGGTCACAGGATGACTAAACAGGATTAATTGGACTTCTGGATCAATTGCTGTTTCTTAGTGCTGGTTATTCAGTTGTAAAGCCTGAATGGTTGTGTATTGTCTGCTCTTTGTTTCAAAATTTTGCAATGACTTAATTTCCTTGCTATTGTTTTGTTTCCCCTATTCCTTTGTAGCATTGCAAACAGCTGACATCGCATAGCAGAGGATATATAATTGCACAGTTGATTAAACTCGATTGTCTGTGAGATAAACAATTGAATGTAAACACATGCATTTATGTCTTCAGTCATTTCATAGCATTATACTTACCCTCTAATTAAAATCATATTTATCAACTTATATAAGAAAACACTGAACACTATTCATTCCACACAGATGGCACAAAACATCAGCTCTGTTAATCTAATCTATTTTGTACGCCTGAATAATAAGAACTGCTTGATTTGATTAGATCCTCTGCAACACATGCTGCTACTGGTATACCCAGGACACTATTTGAAAGACAAAAAATAATCGCTGTAAATTAATTTTTTTGGAAGACATAATGATCTTAGAAAGAGGACATTCCACATAGTGGTCGCTTCACTTTAGGAATGAACCCTAACTGTGAAATGATTGCATTCAAAGTTTTGCTACGTAGAACGACAGTACGGATGCGTCGGTCTCATGTTGCACTTTGTAATGTTTTTCATGAAAGTGTTGTGTTTTGTTGTATACTCGCTGTTGCTTGGTGTGTCTCTTTGTAACTGCAGTCCTTGGTAAAGATGCCATAAAGTCTGACTTCCCTGCTTAATGAAACTTGTGACCTTCTGCAGCATGTCAGAGAGTCGAACAGATTCAGGGCGGAAACATTAGAGACGATGCAGTATTTTAGGTTCTGTTTGGCAGCAAATTTTGGGTCGTTCAAGAGAGTTATAGCTCAATAAAAAAAAGGATGGCTTATCTTTACAGCGTTGGGTTTGAGATGGTATTTAAACACTTGATAGACTCCTGATCTGAGTTCTGAACATCTGTAACTTTAACTTGGCTGTTTTGAAACTGGAAGTAAAGTTCAAACCCATCTTTCTCGAGATGTGTACAGGGTGTAAACATTTTGTGCCTTGTATGCTGGATTTTAATTGTTTAACTGGTGACTGTGATGCAACTCAAAATATCTGTAGCTGCACTGCAACCTTGTCCTCGTGATTTATTGGGAGAACGAACTTGGAGAGGCGGTGGAGTAATGAGGCTTTGCAAAGCCCTAATGGTTTTCCCACAGATATAAAAATGTCTCAATTTCAAAACTGCCAATGTTTCAAAGTCTTGATTGCAAAGAACACAATGAACCTGAAGCTACACATTAATCAAAAGCTGAAATAAAAGTTTCTGATCGCATTTTATGCTTCAAATCCACTGCTACTAAAACTATCAGATCAAATCAAAGCAATATCCACATGTAGAAGTAAAGATTTTATCCAACTGATGCTGAGATTTTGTGCTTTGAACAGAACTTTCAAGAAAGTGAAAAAGTTATTTGCAACAATGTTAACTTACACCATGCTATGTTTTCTAACCCGTGTTTGAAGAGTAGAAGTTTTATTTACTGGGGTTTCTGTGCGACAGTCCTGCAGCCTTAAGGCCCAGTGCAGATATTTTATGTAAGGCAGATGCATTTCTAATATTAGATCCTCATCCAATGCTTTGACATCATCTTGAAAAGGCCTTCATTAAACATCACTTTTTATTATCTAAACATCTCAGAGATTTCTTCCTCTTTTTAGCTCCAAGCTTTTATTACTTCCCATTATGACCATTTTATCATATTCTGAATTTTTATTAGCACTTCTAATAAATTATGCACAGTTATAACAGTATACATAATTATTACTTTGCAGATGGCTAAGGGGTCTGAGAGCTGTGAAGATGGATTTGTTAGAGAGAAGAGATGGAGGGAAGGTATTTGATTTTATGCCGGGATGTTCACCTTTAGCCGTGTGTGAGAGAAGTCAGCGGTGTGTCCTTTCTCCCTTCCCCTGCAGCGAGGTGGATAATGAGTTGGTAATGATGGGGCCCAACAGAGGACGAACACAGAGCTGCTGATCTGACCTCTACCTCTCTGCAGAGCCATGTCTCATTCTCTCTTCTACTGATTAACTGGAAGAATTTAATGAAAGCAAAATAAGGCTCCACAAAGACTGAGCTCACTTTTAAGGATCATGTTGGTTCTTGCCATTGCATATTATATATAGTAGGATGTGAAAGAAGATTTTTATTTATTTATTGCTTGAGTGTAGAGGTCTTAAGTTTTTTTGAGGCTGTGATGGTGTGTTATGATTGTAAGCATAAAACACATGAGGGTCTATCTCTATTGTTATATTGTTTTCACTGCAGTTCAGTGATTCAATAATTTATTCCCAACTAAATCAAGTCTTTATATAACAATAAATACAGATATAAATCTAGATCTTGATTTGTTTTCATTTACGCAATTTTGCTTTATTTTTTTTCTACAGTACAGCTATATATGTATATATATATGCTTTCTGTAATTATAGGATAACTAATAAATAACCATAGACACGCAAACTTTTAGTGGCAATTAAATTAATGTGTGTGTTTTTGGACTGTGGGAAGAACACACATGCATGAGGAGAACACTCAAACTCCATGCAGAAATCTGGATACTACAAAATGTAGACATGCAAAATGTATAGAAATTATATGATTTGCATTGTAAAGCTAACTGGAAATGTTCCTCTTTGCGTTTCTTTTCAGACAAAGCCGATGATGACTTGGAGATGACCATTGTCTGTCATCGGCCAGAGGGGCTCGACCAGCTCGAAGCTCAAACCAACTTCAGTAAAAGAGAGCTCCAAGTTCTCTATCGGGGCTTCAAGAATGTGAGAAACTTTACAAGATGGTTTATCTGCTCTAAATATGACATCTTCAGTCCTGAAAACATATTAGATCATTTTTTTACAAGCTAACCAAGGTGAAGAAAGAGGTGCAAATTAGGTTGATGCTATGCAACAAAATTAACAATGTCTATATCGCAACATTAATCTTATTTTGTGTAAACGTACTCAAGTTATTCGTCTGTATTGCATGGATTGTTTCCTTCTTAATATATGTAAATATGTTAAGAATACAGTAATATTGTTTGTCTTCGTGTTTGATTCTTGTTTCAGGCACATCCCACTCACCTCTGTCTGTTTTCCTGCCCCTCTTTCCTTTCAGGAATGTCCCAGCGGAGTTGTTAACGAGGAAACCTTCAAGCAAATCTACTCACAGTTTTTTCCACATGGGGGTGAGGACTCTGTGTCACTTTTGCTTCTGTGTTGACCCATTTCGGTTTACTCAATGCACCTTTTATCTGCTGCTCCAGATGCCAGCACTTACGCTCACTACCTGTTCAATGCTTTTGACACCGGACACACAGGATCAATAAAGTTTGAGGTTTGGTTTATTCCTTTCCACATCTCTGGCTGGTTGGCTGTCACCATGTGAAGGTGTTTCCCCTTTCTACGATTTTTCAGTTTGTGATTTCATCTTTGTATCTTTGTTTCCCAGGACTTTGTTACAGCTTTGTCCATTCTCCTAAGAGGTTCTGTCACAGAGAAACTCCAGTGGACCTTTAATCTCTACGACATCAACAGAGATGGATACATCAACAAAGAGGTTTGCAATATATATATATATTTTTTTAACTTCAGCAGTGGGATTTTACACCTCAGACCTCTTTTGTTGTTGTTTTTTTTCCACAGGAGATGACAGACATTGTCAGAGCAATATATGACATGATGGGGAAATACACATACCCTGTCCTGAAAACTGATGCACCCAGACAACATGTGGATGCATTCTTCCAAGTACAAACATTGTGACCGCTACATCTAAATCTGCTAAAACAAGAACACCGAGGAGTGACACTAACAGAAATCTATGCTTTATACATCTAGAAGTTATGAAAAGTGTACTTTTAGAGAGATGTCCAAACTAAACGTAATGCTAATCTCACAATTTTGTGTCATAATGTAGAAGTATTTTAGACATGCAGCTTCTTGGAAAAGCATTAAGAATTTGCAGTTTTTCTAATGTTATGTTGTCCTAAAAACCACAAACTTTTCTGGGACTTTATGTGACAGAAAAACACAAATTAGTACATAATTGTGAAATGACCAAGTGCTGAAGACCCTCATGATAATTTAGGATTTCAATCAAAGTATTTTATAATGGCCCAGTCAAAGTCCAGACCAAAATCCAATTGAGAGACTGTGGCTAAACCTGAACTTTTTGGCCAACACATGAACTTCTCTGGCACAAAATTAATTCTCCTTGTCACCCAGAATGGCCAAGTCAAAGTTCAGAGCTTGATAAAAATGACGAATTTGTTGCAGAAGTTGAAAATGTATGCCTATAGATCCTCCAATCCTTTGTTTTCAAAGAATCTGGAAAAACATGGTGCAACAAAGTGCATTATTTGGAAAATGTGCCACACTTTTCCAAATAATTGAAAATAATGGAATTATAATGGAATTATAAAAATATATATCCAAATCCTTACATATTTTTGTTCCTCTTTACAGTTATTGTGTCCATCAAACTCACAAAATCCCATTGAAATATTCTAATGTCACAAAATGTGGAAATTTCAAGTATTACTTTGGTAAAGGAACAATATATTTGCAATATCCTTGATTGTCTTTAACATGCATTCATCTGTCCACAGAAAATGGACAAAAATCGAGACGGTGTCGTCACGCTTGATGAATTCATCCTTTCTTGTCAAGAGGTAGAGTTCATTTTTCAAAGTATCAAAACTGAGAGATGCACACAGTGTTTGAAATTATTATTTTTAAAATTACTAAAACTTTGAGTTTGTGGTTGTGGTTTTGTTTTTATTTCTAAAAAATGGATTTGACCATCTGAAATGTCGGCAAAATGTTATCCCTCCAATAAAACTAACTTTACTCACCATTCATTAAAGGCCTCCCACCTTTGCAAGTCTCACTATAGTGGCTATTAATTATGGTCTTTGCTATCTTCCATATCCGTGTGTTTGTGTTGAGAGAGATCATTAAGCTTTTATTACCTTATACCGCCCCCTAGTGGCTTGTAAAATGAATTAAAGGGTGATTGTTGGATGGCTCTCTTATCTGAAGTCAGCTTTTTAATTTCGTTTTTTTTTTCCACAGGATGAAAACATCATGAGGTCTCTGCAGCTTTTTGAAAATGTCATCTAAATGGCAAATGCCAGGAGGGGGCGGAGCAACAGATGACAACACAGAGCAAGAGACGAGGGGAAAAAAAGGATAAGGAGAATGAAAGACGGACAAAAGTTTGCAGGAGCAAAAAAACATTAAAACCTCAGAGAGAAGCGAAACAAGGAGCTTTAACTGCCACTTTGGGTTTAGAAATGTATCTCTGGCGAACAAACCTTCTCTGGTTTTTGAAATCGTCTTTCAGATTCATTTGGTCTTTCTCTGAGTGTCTACCTCGTCTCTGTCTCCTTCATTTATCACTGTTGTGGCTTACTTTCAGCTTGGACTGTGTTTGTTTTGGGAGGGGGAGAGAAGGGATTGCCACTGTGTAAATATGCAGCCAGTCTCTCCTTTGGGCCAGTCTGTCTCTTGTTTTGAACTAAAAAGCAGCTTACAGGTGAAGTGTCCCAAGCAACAATCTGTTTACAGCATTATTTCATGTAACAGTGCAGCAAAAGTGAGCAAGTTAATGAAGCATGTAGGGCAGATGCCCACATTATACTGTATTTGGTGTGCATTGCAAAGACATTTTGTCTTAGTGCTGACATTTGAGAGCACATAACTTTGCAGCGCTGAACTAAGTGTCCGTTAAGACGTCATAAGTCAGTTCCTGAGCGTTGTAACAACTAAGCTGTGTTATAGGTATTTAATTGTTGTTTTTGTGGCTTTTTCTTACTGTCTGATGTCTGTCTGTGTTTCTTATTCTGATACCTGTGTGTCCTGTTGTCCGAGTGGCTATAACTCTGTAATTATGCTGCCTGTCTCAATATCTGCTGAATAAAGAGCACATCAGTTGGCTTACAGGTAGAAAGCAACACATATGCATGTTCTTGTGTGTTTGTTTGTGGTGCCATAATGCCAACGCCCTGCTTGAAAAGCTATTTAATTTTGGGCATGTGCAGAAATCAGTTCATGTCGAGGATCCTTCAGTGAAAAGAAGCATATTTTGGAGAGACGGAAGTTTTGTCTTCGGCTCTGTCTCATTCAAAAACCAAACACTGACTCAGAGTGACCAACATTTCACTGTGAGGGGAGGAAGGGTGATGGAGGAAGGCAAAGATCTGAGAGCTAGACCTCAAAACTGATTCTGGAGGAATGGAAGCCATTTTTCAAACAAGAGCCATCGTTTTTGATGATTGAGCCAGGATGAAAGATTTAAATATTCCGCTTTTACTCACTGTGCTAAGCCAATAATGTAATCTAAATGAGTTGCAGAAATCCAGACAAGACGACAGAGAGGTAGAGACAGGCATATAGACAATTTAAACTGTCATTTCAAATGATGCGTGTATTGAAATATTGTATAAAGTCATATTTATCAATAAACTTTTCAGGGAAAAGAAAACAACTCATGTCATGTTTTACAATTCTACTCCTCATGATTTCCCCCCCACCCCTCCTTTACCTTATTATAATAACGGCGTTAAAAACCTGAAAATCTTTTTTTTTTTTTTTGGTGCACCAGAAATGAGCGAAAATGAAAAACAAAACATCACAACAACAGTTTATAATATTATTTACACATGTACAGTAAAAGTACAAAACAGAGTTTTCTGGCTTGATTCAAAAACATAATAATGTGCATATGAAAAGACTTTAGCAACATCTCTGAGCATGCATCACTCCCTTTATTATCTTAACTTACAGCATGGGTGAAATTTTCCTATTTCCTGAAGTCTGTCTTTGTTTTATTACAGCTCAAATGACGTTTTCCACCCAAAATGCAATATTTTTGGCATCTTTTGGTTTGGCCCAAGTGTTGCTATTTTTATGTGCAGGTTTATATGTGCAGGTCTGTGAGAATGCATTAAAGGAAGTATTTTATCAATGGGACCTGAATAAGCACCACAAAAATGAAAAAATGATGAGAAACATCAGGGGGTTTTTTTCTGCTTTGACACATTTTGCAGAGTCAACGCACCCAGAAATGGGTGTTAAGAGAAAGCACACTCATAAAACAATATAGTTGCATGTTTTACAGTGTGACATAAATTACATCCCTCATCTAAAACTGCATACAAGATATTTCCTCCCTGTCTTATTCCAATGAACAGAATAAGTGCAAGCATATGAGAACAAATAGAGTGGCAGTTGTTTTGTTTTTTTCTTTCTTTTTTTGAATAAGTCTGTTTCAGATTTGTTTTGCAAAGTTCTGATTTTTTCCACCCAGGGTGGAAAACAAAAAAATAATCCACAGTTTCTGCTTCTGAGTACGCATCACTCACCAGAATTCAATGTCCCGTTCTAACATCCTCCACTTAAACAGACAGGACCCATGCTTCAGTCTCAAGTCACATTTGTTCCTCCACACAGCATGAATCAAAGTAAGTCCCAGTGGTTTCATTTAATTTATCTGTCCCTACTCCCTGTCCTCGGCCCACGGCTGGAGGTTCTGCAGGGCGTACAGGGAGGAGTTGTGGGCGCACAGTGGATCCGACACCGCGGATTCGCTCAGGGACTTCTGGAGGGCGGACTGCTGCAGCTGCAGGATCAGGCGATTGGCCTGCTGACGCTCCGCCTCCCTCTCCTCGGCTGTTTGTCTCCTGAAAGACGACAGGAGGAATAAAACATTTAGGAAGTCGTTGCAACGGAAAACAAATGGCGTTCAAGATCACAGAGAAAGACAGAATGCTTCGAACATAAATTTCAGTTTGATAACCCAAGATTTAAAAATGCAACAAACAAAGTTTTTCTTAGATAGATAGATAGATAGATAGATAGATAGATAGATAGATAGATAGATAGATAGATATAGATAGATAGATAGATAGATAGATAGATAGATAGATAGATAGATAGATAGATAGATAGATAGATAGATAGATAGATAGATAGATAGATAGATAGATAGATAGATAGATAGATAGATAGATAGATAGATAGATAGATAGATAGATAGATAGATCTTCCTTAAACTGTATACATATCGATTGAATAGTTAGGTTTGCATGTGGATGGGATAGAAATAAAATAAAATAAAAAGTAAGCTAATATTCTTTTGAAAAAGAAAAAAAACTAGTAAATATTGAAGTTCTACACTAGCGAACCGGAACAACTGTCTCAAGTTTCCCACCAACCTCCACTTAGTTCTGCGGTTCTGGAACCAGGTTTTGACCTGCGCGTCGGTCATCTTCAGGCTCTTGGCCAGAGCCGCTCGCTCGGCGCTGGCCAGATACTTCTGCCGGTGGAAGCGCTTCTCCAGCTCGCAGATCTGGACTCTGGAAAAGGAGGTCCTGGGCTTTTTCCGCTTCGGAGGCGTCCTGTTCTGATACGGGTGACCTATCCGCCGAGTGACTGCAAAAGGAACCAGAGCCGCTGCGAGGCGGAAGGGAGAGGATGAGCGAGAGATCCAGGAAATAACCCTCACAAGATGTAACACACACTGCTTCAGTTCATGAGGTCCAGGGCCGGAGACTCCTCACAATGTGCGCCAAGACAAAAGTTAACTAATAGGAGCTCTTTATATATATTCTAGAGTTTTAAACAACAAATCTTAGAGAAAAATAAACATTCAGTCAAGAATATTTCAGCATAATAACTTTTGCTTCACACTAATTAAATAAAACTACTTTGGCCTCTAATTCTAGATCATATTATAATTAGCAATTTTTATTAGCTATTATTTATAATTGCAACAACAATAATTCATAATTTAGAACAATTGAAACATTAAACATTCCTTCTCTGTATACTATGTTGTTTGCTGACTTTTATATTTTTTATATGCTGAATTCAGCACATGGTAGCACTGGTTTTATATAGCTCAGTGTTATTATCACTATTATTACTGAGAGGAAACTTTTTCTCCATTTTTTGTGTGGAAAAGATGTTATTATTTTATTCAAATCGATTTCTTGATATTCCATTATTAATTTTGCTCATTTCATCTGATGTGTCAAATCCTGAACTGAACCAAAACCTGAGTCAGAAGCACAGAGTATTGTTTTATCTAAGCTTGGACTTTTCCATTTTGCCACTTTTTGCATACCTTTATTGTACATTTATTTTTATTAAATGTCAGCGCTTTTGCTGTTCCATGAATATTTTTGTTGAATTGAGTTGAGTCGTCTTGATGTTCAATGTTATGAATAATAATTTCTTCACGTGGCTTTGGGTGTCCAAGTCTTTAAATATGTAATTGCATTTTTTTTTTTTTTTTTTTTTTTTGCTATTCACATAATGAACAAAGCCCTGCCTGTCGGGTGAAAACAACCAGCTGCGTGTAGTTATATTGGTAAAGGAGCCGTTATTGCCGTTTTAAACATGATCAAATATTAATGAGGGGATCCCATTAGGTCTGCAGCTGGCCTACCTGATATTCTGTCCTTGGCGAACCTGTTTCCTATCCAAGGGAAGCACAGTCCTCCAAACCCGGGAACAGCGCTCTGGACAGGTGCCGGGGGTCCCGGGGCCGTTACAGGTCTGTGAGCGGGAACTCGTATCACACCCCGGCTGCCCAGACTCCTGTTCTCTCCGTACGAACCTGAAGGATCCGCTGGAGGCATGATCCCAGAGAGGGAGATAGACAGCGCTGTGTATGAGGGCGCGTTGGCACCGCTCGGGTTTCCTAGGCTATAATAGGCGTCCCCGTTGCTTAAATCCGATCCACTCTGCCTGCCCGGCGTGCGCCCGCTCTCCGGCTCCGAACCGGCTCCCAGAATCTGGTCGATGCCGAAGCTGATGGGTTCGTGGTTGACTGGTTTTGGAGGAGGACTCGGCGCGCTTGGTGCTTGCTCCATCCCTCGCTCTGTCGCTGAAAGGATGGGGGGAAACGTGGAGACGGAGCTTTCAGAAAGGACTCACAATGTTGTCAAACTGTGCCAAAATTCATCGTGAAAAGTCACTCCATCGCTGGGCATGTCCGAAAAAAAAAAAAAAAAACAAGAATCAGTGCGTACTCTCGAACAGGCCTCCTCCGGAGCACTGAGTCCTCTCTGCCGAAAGTTTGATGGGCGTTTGGAGAGATGTGACGCTCTGTCCTCCTCTCAGCGCATCAAAGCGCTCCGTCTTGGAGCTACGTCCTCCTCCATCCCTCTGCACCTTTCATTGGCTGGCACCGGAATGACTGATTGAATGTCAGCAGAGGGGAAGGCCCAGGCTTTGGCACGATAATCGAGATTTCCCATAACCACGAGTGTCAGAGTGTTTTATATGTATATATGGTAAGATATAGCGTCTTTAGGCCTTGTGAGTGAGTCAGACTTTCATTTGACGATCTTTAATAACATAAATACACAATACAGACGCGCGCTTTAACTCTGAACATTTATTTGGCTCAAAAAAAAAAAAAAGACCAAAGAATCAAAATGAATTTGATTATTTCTGACAAATTACAAACTATAAGATCTGACATCGGTGTCCAAAACGCTCATTTATAAGTTTTATTGTCGTTAGTCTAAACTGATCACAACGTGAGCTTTTCAAGCGAGACACACATTGAGCCTCATTTGTCCTCTTGCTTTTTCTGACACATCTTCAGACTCTATTATCTCACATATACGTGAATAAGAATCTCCCAAGAAAACTGTCACGTAGCTTTAAGGCTGTAAGATATGGATCACTTGTGCAGAATGTTTCATAAAAGGCTTGAAATGAATAAAACACGTCAGATTTAAAAAAAACAGCAAAACAAAACAAAAAACAACAATCAAAAAGAGTGTTCCTCCTTAGTGTCGTTTAAACTGTTAAATATATGCAAGTTTTTTATTTAATCTTTTTTTCCTGAATGTGCAGCCAGAAATGTTTTTTTGTCATGTTTTTGAAAAAAGGGGCATCAGATAAGCGTTTGGACTGCAATCCGGTGCGCAATTACGCACGGGTATTCCATGACACGACAAAACCATTTCATTGCTCTTTGAAATAAAAAGGGTGCGTGTTGAGCACTGGCAGAAAACAGGCAGCACCCATTGAGCTTGGCAAACACTTCCTTTACGCGGCCTTATTTGTTCCCGTGATGGCCAGTACCACATTAAATGACCTGACAAGGGAAAGCCACGGGCTACTCCAGATAAAGTGTCCGGGCTCTGGAAGCTGCTAAGCGCTCAGATTCAATGTAACAGGCGCCCAAAGTGACCGGCTAATCTCATTTTCACTAACTTGTCTCATGGACAGACAAATGTGCATCGGCTTTGGATGCGGCAGGTGGCTTTTTAAGCGATCACATTACAGCACTTTAACAAACGGATGGCTCACATATTTGCATGTTCAGACTATTAACTCTATTTTTAATATTTTAAGCAGAATAAATCTATATATATATATATATATATATATATATATACGCAGATCATTTTGTGTGTTTTTTTATTCCTACTGTCGACAAATATTTTTTACAACCAAAGAAAAAACATCTAATTAAGTGTATGTTATATATATATATTTTTTTTTTAAATCCTCAAAATATTGATAAAGCATATTGTCGTTCTGCTGCAATATGAGAGGCCATGTTCTCCAAATTCAAATGGGAATATAAATATACCTCACATAAGATATATATATATATATTTGAAAAAGTCTCATCCTGCCTCTTACAATAAAGTGTTATAAAGCAATATGATGGGACAAGGCCCGAGGTGTTTGTTTGGCAATATGGACAGAGTCAGAGTGTTGGCTGCTTCACCCTGACCATATGTGAGCTCACCGGTGGCTTTTGATGGGGGAGAATTGGTCTGTTAAAGCTGTCATCGTTTTAGACAATTTTATGTTTCTCTCGATGACTCTTGCGGCTAAATCATGGAGCTCATAAAGCATATTTCAACATTCCTCAGCAACGCATTGGGCACAATCGGTCATATTTTTTATTTTTTTTTTACCATTCCGACACTTGTTGAACAGTTGGTGTCCTGGATTCAGTTTGATGGGATAATGAAAGGACGAACGGCCGAACACCATCAAGTGAAGATTTCAGTGCTGTTATTTCGAGTTACAAAATTAAGAAAAGACACAAAGCTTGAACTGTAACGATAAAAATATTTCCAAGCTGTTAGAGTAAAATAAAAATAAAAAATGTCCATAAACCGCAAATCAAACAAAACCGACATAGATTTTACAAACGTTCCCTGGAAAATTCCCATTGTTGTCACTGCACATTTATTGCTGGGTGAATGTGTTTCACATCCATGTAAAAGCTACAAAGTATGCGTAAAACACATAAAAAAATACGTATCTCTATAGAACCCGCACATTTTGGGTTCATTATATTGTCGTATTAAAAACAAAACTACTCGGAACAACAGTATGGAAACGCAGATCCTATTATGTAAACTGGGTTTACAGTTCTGACACTCTGAACGATTAGAAACCTGGTTTTGCTTTTTTATTTATTTTTTAAGTAAATAAACATGCGAGGGAAGGCGATCACAATCAGTAGGTCGCCAGAGGCTGATGATCTACAGCTGGTGTTACTGAGAGAGAGGAAGCAAACCTGGAACCACAGAGCAAAATGAGACACTTCAAATGGACGAAAACGTGTAAAAACCAGACAAAAAAAAAAAAAAAAAAAAAAAAACTGTAAGAAAAAACGGGACTCCAAAGTGTTTTGTCCAATATGATGGACAACACAATGTCGTCCAGCTCTGTGTTACAATAAGAGTAAAAATCGACAACAAATACATTGGATTGATGTTAAGAAAAATATCACAAATCCTCCACGTAAATTAGTCTGTATTTTCCACGATTTATGATATTAGAGGTGACTGATTTTCATATGCAGCGGTCAAAGGTGTGATAATAACATATTTCAAATCCAAACGTATTAATTTTTTATACATACGTGTTTATTTATTTTTTAGGTTTATTTATCTGCGGAAATTGCCTTTAGGATGAATTTGCCTTCACCTGAAGGATTATTGTACGTGACCACAGACCAGGCGTCCCGTTCAGTGAAGAGGATTGGTGTTGATGATCTGTAACAATCCAGAGATGTCGAAATGTTTTGTTTCACCTCACAGCCCCACGTCCTGACACCTTATATGGATTTATTAACAGTGGGGAGAGTGCCAAGTCCGGAAAAGCCCCAAAAGTACATTCGGCGTTAAGCCGGTCTTCAGGTCATCTTGTTCAGAGCAAAAATATTTAGTTTCTAAAAAAGCCGCAGACCGCACGAACAATTGCAGAGACATCAATCCTCCGTTCTAGTTTTTTCTTCCTTTCTTTCCAGAGGCAATATAAAAGCTGACACCCTGATTCCGAAAGTCCAAAAAAGAAGCGACAACAAAAGAGTGAAAGAGTGCGATTTGTTTGAGAAATTACCACTTGATCTGCATAATCGGGGGGTTCGGGGCTGCGGCTCGGCACCCGGGGGCTGCGTTTTTATTGCGCGTCTCCTCGCCGTTATCAATTTCAGCGGAGCGCCTGACTTTTTAAAAGGAGGGGACGAGGCCGGCTGCCTCTGAATAATGAATGACACGCTTTTATATTGTCGCTAAAGTGCCCGTGATGTTACAATATGAAAAGGCAGCGGTAAGTAATAGTGCATTTAAGGGGGATGTAGTGTATTATTATGATGTAAAAGAGAAGGCGGGAGAGGGAGACGAGCGGAGAGCGGCACCGGGAGAAAGGCGGAGATTGTTTTATTACAATAAGAGGAGATGAGTTTGCCTCGCAGCGAAATGGGGACCAGTTAATGAAACTTTACCGCAGCTAACGATTCCCCCCTCCCCTCGCTCTAAAAACCTGCCCTTATGAAATATTTAAACTATTTAATATAGGTAGTATTAAGCTGAAAGACACTTGCGTCGGCCATATGACAGCATTTACAAAGCTGTGATTTTTTAATTTTTCTAACTTGGGCAAACAAAGCTTTATACCGTCCAGCTTCCCTTCAACTCTTCCAGCAAAAGTCGTATAAATCTGCTTAAAAGCGCGACAGGAAACAGGGATTTTACTCGTTTCTCCGTCTTTTCTCACGGAGACTCGAGCCCGTCTTTAATGGGTGGGACGACCAGCCCTCGGTGAAGGAGGGATAGTGTTTCATATTGACATGCTCAGTGGGATTGTTGGATGAGGAGAGAGCAACGGGATCCCCCATCAGGGACCGGACAGGACTATCATCATCATCATCATCATCATCATCGTCATCATCATCATCATCATCATCATCATCATCATCAGAGGCGGTTCTTGCATGAATGCCACCCTGGTCACCAACTCCCCCGAAACACATGAACTTCCCTCTCAAACAGTATTTGAAGGGGGTTGGGGGGGTGATAAGTTAAGATGTAGTTTATGTAACTTTTGAAAAAACTTTAGGAACAAAAAAAATATATAATTATTTGCTGGTGAAATGTTTCCCAAGAATTACCATTTGTTTGATGTTTTTTTTTTTTTTTCGATCTCAATGTGTTAATGTCAAAAAGATACAGGAATAACTTTTTTTGTGGGTTTTATAGAACAAGTGATAGTTATAAAAAAAATATACAAACCACATTTAATGTCTTAAGATTTATTTCTGCATAGAATGGATCAGTTTAGTACAATCGTCATTAAATGTTTCCAAGATTAACAAATGTTATCCAGCGTTCAGCTATATTTTACATTGAGCAAAGCAACGTGGAAGTTGTGTCAAGGCGGGGGATGGGTGCTCTTGCTTCCTCACTGACGAGCAACTAAGTAAAAGAAAACCCACATTGTGTGCAATTGATGTATTTCCTTTTAAAATGGTGCCCTGAGAGAGCTTTATCACCCATATCAAAAACCAACACAGTTCATCAAGTATCTTCCCTGGGCTGCTACTGAAAGACTGGTGTGCTGCTCCGCATGCATGGACACAATTCATCTGACAGACCGTTAAAAGGCAGAAGAAAAAAGAAAAAACACCTAAAATGTCACCGTAAATGTCACTTATTTTGCCTGGAAGATATTAAAGGATTTTAATTACCAGATATGAAGGTTACAGTCCCTAAAGAGTCTCTTTATTGGAGGAGATATATTTTATTCCTCTCTAAAGGACAGATGACAGCAAAAGTTTAGCGCTCAATATGTTGCAGCAGCTTATTGTAAAAACAGA